CAATACACTCTCCTGGGATGCAAACCTCCACAGTCAGCCATGATAGACACTACAGACCAGTTTCCGATCTTTCCCACGTACTGCAACAACCTTACTGGAGGCACGCTTCTTTTTCACCTCCTCCATCATCAAGGAGTTCTTTCAGATAATACTCTTCAGTACTCTCTCCTCATACGTACCATCATGAACACCATATGACTGTACCTTCACCGTGGTACCACTGTCCCAACAGATGGGAGTATCGACATCACAGACATTCACACCACTATGACTATTCCAATCAATGGGCAACTTGCTATCATCCCCCCAAAACAAATACATCAACCACGATGCTGTTGGGAATACCCATCTACGTGCGAATATTCTCCTTCTACAATATACAGACCTACAACTTCCCCCTCAAAGACACACCACCAGTCCGAACCTGAGGAGGGACAAATATCAGAGACAGAAGAACAGCAGCCAGACATCTCACCGACCAACCACTCATCGTCTCCTAATAAAGAAGTTATTCCCAGCGATCAACCACCTGGTGACCTGAAACAGTTTCAGGAACTTTTCAAAAGAGTGGCTGCCAGTCAAGAAATCTAACTGACCGAGGTTCAAGAAAAACAACATTGCTTCCTTAAATATCTTCTGCCGTCACAATGTGCAAAAATCACTATTCCTATAGATAAAGCTATTATGGAGGCCACCAATGATACATGGCAGACTCCATCATCAATACCTCCAACAAATAAGTGAGCAAACAAAAAGTATTTTGCTGCCTAAAGACGCTGAATTTTTATCGCCTCCCTCCCCCCACAACCTAATTCCTTAGTTGTGGATGCAGCTCAGCAGAGGGCTAAACTTCCACAATATAAAAATAATCTTGCGGACAAAGAAAGTAAGCACCTGGACATCTTTGGGCATAAGATGTACTCATAGTCAACCTTACTCCCTCGAATAGCAAATTATGCGGCATTACTTTCTAACCATAACTTTGACAATTATACTAAGCTTACTTCTCTGATGGAGCATTTACCAGACTCAAAAAGACTGATCCTGAAATCAATCATACAAGAGGTATATGCCTCATCACTAACCTCTCTGTAGATAGCCCTAGACATAGCTGATACAGCAGCCTAGGCTACCATGACATCCATAGTCATGAGAAGGGCCTCATGGTTTCAGGCAGCCACAGTTCCTCATGAACTACAGACAAAAGTGGAAGATCTCCCACTTGATAAAGAAAAGATATTCTCCAGGAAGACAGATGGAGTATTACACTAGTATTACTTTACTAAAGATTCTAGAACTACCCTTTGTACTTTGAGTATGTACACTCCACCGTACTGACGTAGATGGTATGTACTATACCAATGACAGATTTCTCATACCTGAGATACCAATATCGAGGATTTGATCAGTTGAGACCATGACGACGTCCACAAAAGAGACTATCTCAGAAGAGCTGTAAACCCAAACCAGAAATCAAACAGCAGGTTTGACTCCCAGGATGAGGGATTTCAGAACCTCCCCTTGCTAGGTCACCGCGATCACTATACCCCAACCTTTCACCATTGGCTAAGACCATTTTGACATCACTGAGCCACTATCACATCAGATCGTTGGGTCTCAAGATCATATCATCAGGTTACACCATCGCATTTGTAGCTTTACCTCACACCTCCCCACCATCCCTGTCCCTCTTCAGGGACCCTTCTCATGAGGACCTATGGCAGAAGGAGGTTCACTGTCTTTTAGACTTCGGTGTGGTAGAGATGGTGCCAGAAGTATTCAGGAACAGAGGCTTCTATTCCTATTATTTTCTCACAACAGAAAAGGCTGGTGGCTGGAGACCTATTCTGGACCTTCGCAGATTGAACCGATACCTTCAGAAACAACAATTCAAGATGGTGACTCTGGCATCTATTATCCCAACATTAGAACAGGGGGACTGGTTCGCAGCCCTCAACCTGCAGGACGCATACTTGCATACTACCATACATCCTGTGCACAGACAGGTTCTCAGTTTCATGATCGGATCAGACTACTGTCAGTACCGAGTCCCACCCTTTCGCCTGTAATCAGCACCCAGAGTATTCTCAAAGATGCTCGCTGTTGTCGCAGCATATCTCCGTCGACAATGGATCGTGATTTTTCTGTATTTAGATGACTGTCTAATAAAATGACCAACCGCTATGGATACCCTCAATATGATATCCATAACCAGACAGACTTTTGACCTGCTGTCTCTCATTCTCAATGAGAAAAAATCAATGCTTTTTCCTACACAAACCCTAGAGTTCATTGGCACCCAGTTAAGACTCCACCACGGCAAGAGCATACCTACCATCCCAATGATTCCAAGCAATTCAGGACCTGGTCATTACGCCTACAAACAACCCCAGGGCCTCAATACTTATCTGCCTACAACTCATGGGCCACATGGCAACTACAATTTATATAGTTCCTTACACGAGGCTCCATTTTCACTCCCTTCAACACTGGCTTGCTTCCGTTTACACCCATTGCA